GGGCGTGTGTGCTCACCAGGAAGACAGAGACAGACAGGCAGAAAGTGAGAAATCCTCCCCTGGTGGGGGATGGCCATGCCGCAATCCCTTCTCCTCCACTCTCCTCTCGGGGGATCTTGGGCATGCACAGTGTGAGTTTAAGCCACCGGATCCGGGACTCGAATCGTGGTTGACTACATGGGAGTCCAGTGACATAGCCATTATGCCAACTGGTGGTCCCAGAAGCTTCATTTTTAATAATCTGTTTTGTTTTGTTTTGAGAGGCTTTTGCAATAGGGTGCATGCGCTCACCAGAAAGAGAGAGAGAGACAAAGAGACAGAAAGTAAGAAATCACCCCCTGGGGGGATGGCCACACTGCTATCCCTCCTCCTCCATTTTCCTCTGGGGATCTTGAGCATGCACACACAGGAACCCAGCTTGAGTTTAAGCCACCGGTTCCCGGACTCAAACTGCGGTTGACTACATGGGAGTCCAGTCATTACGCCAACTGCTGGTCCCCATCTTTAATCATCTTATGAGCACATTAAAATTACCTAGAAAAACAGTGAAAAATACATATTAATGGTGGATCTAAGTCTTCATTTTAAATGTTCGATGACAGACTTTTTCACTCCAAAAAAAAAAAATTACAATGAAATCACTGGAGTGGAGGGGAGAGGAGAGAAAGAGAAAGATTGCAATCAGGATTTTGAGCACACACACAGATGTGCCCTGTGTGATTTTAAGCTGCCAGGCCTGAGACTCAAAGTGTAAAGTTGACCTTGTGGGTTGCAACTACCTTAACTTTTATACCACCTGCTGGCCCACTGTTCTGTTGTTTTAGCATCGATTTTTAAAATTTTGTTAGGTTTAAGATGTTAAAATTTGTTTTAAAATAATCCTTTAATTCAGAACATAAGCCTCTACTCTTCCCGTAAGAAGTACTTTCTGACAGAGACAGTTTTTTCGGAAAATGGTTAACATTTCTCTGCTTTTAGCTCTTTGAGCAAAACTCAGAGAATTTTTATTAAAACCATATGTGTAGGGGGTTAGTAGACAGGACTCATTCATTCATTTGAATGGCTATTTACTGACTATTTGGCCATTAGCCTTGGGATTAGAGTGCGTTAATGTTTTAGAAGCTCCCTAGGTGATTCTTTGTTGTTGTTGTTGTTTTCTATTTTTTTTTTTAGTTGTGTCTGTTGTGTTTCTGATTATATATAAGCATATATTAATTATATTTTAAGACCAGAAGTAAGTGATTGTTCTTCCATGCCCAGCTCCAAAGGATGGAAAGGAAAGAAACATGACTTTCCACATCCTTTGATTTCTAAGTTTATCAACTAAACTTTAAAAGTAGGAAATTAGAAGGGAGTTTCTTTCCTTTTAAAAATACAATGGGGAGCAAGAACCCTTATTAGTTTTCAGACTAAGCATCAACGACTCTATGTGTGTGTACTCTCACCTTTATCTTTTATGTAACTTAAACACAACTGCTAAAGATCCTGATTCAAGGAAAATACTATCAGTGCCTGTCTCTGAGCTCTGAATTTTCCAGTCCCTGATTTTGGAATGTGGAGGAGATGAAAGAAAACAGACTTGAGAATATGCAAACATGAACTCAGACCTTCGCAAGTAGAATGTCGCCCAGGACTCCCTTACTCCTAAATCTCAGTTTAAAATGTATTGGATGCCTTATCTGAGTTTGGGGTCATCTTAAGGGAGTGCAGATACAAGATTCTTTTACCAGGTAGAAGAGACTAAAAGCCCACTTGAAATGGAACTCTCCTCCTTTATCTCACTGGGATGATTTCATTCATAATGTGCTTCTTCCTGAGACAAGGTACAAATTAGAGTAGAAAGATGTATTTATGAGATCAGTTTTAAAGTGTTCTAAATAGGAAGGAATTCACATTACAATTGTCAACAACAAACTAAATTGTTCTTGAAATAGTGATTTGTCTTATATTAATGTTTTCTTCTTTATATTTCTCAGAATTAATTCTGTACAAATTTGTATTTAGCCTGTTGATTATTTTTTTAAGAGAGATTTTTGCTGTAAGGTGCATGCGCTTGCCAGAGAGACAAAAAACAAGAAGTCACACCCCCAGTGGGGGTATGGCCACACTGCAGTCCTTTCTTCTCTATTCTTCTCTTGGGATTTTGGGCATGCACACACATGAGCTCAGTGTGAATTTTATGCCTCTGGATCTGGGACTCAAACCACAGTCGACTGTGTGGGAGTCCAGCAATGTAACCATTATGCTATCTGCTGGTCCCTAGCCTGTTGATTTTTAGTTCACCATTAATGATCTTCACAATTTACCAACACACACACTTAACTTTTTCTTCCCTTAGGAAAAAGCTCTGGAAAGAATGAGGAATATAACCAAGAACATCTCATTGGGGAGGGATACATATGGTGATAGAAATTTGGCATATGGGGGAAGAGATTGGAGGAGACTGTTGACCATGTACGTCTATTTATTTATTTAATCTTTTTTTTTTAAAGAATTATTTTATTTAACTTTAATTTGACCAGAGATGGGTAGAGTGAGAAAGCAAGCCACCAAGTCTGGGATCCGAACTGCAGTCGGCCATGTGGGAGTCCAGTGCTCTTAACCATCATGCCTGCTGCTGGTTTGTATTTATTTAATCTTTTCACCATGAGGGTATAAAAGGGTCTCCCTGATAATAACTACAGGTGCACAAGTGACCAGCGTTTTTTTTTTTTTGTTGTTGTTGTTGTTTTTTCATTTCAGTATAATAAATAAAACCTAGGTCAGCCCTTTAGCCTAGTGGTTAAGGGAGCTGAATCCCACATGACAGAACACAGTTCTAATTCTGGCTCCACTACCTTGAGAAACACACCAGTCACATGTGCATGCATGCCTCAAATCCCAACAGGATGGTGAGTGCTTATGGCATAACCATATCCCGTAGAGTATGCATTTTCCCTCCCTCTTTCTGACCGGCACACATACCTTGTGGCAATTTTATGTATTTTTTTTTGTGTGTGTATATTATATATAATACATATATTTACTTATATAGAGATTTACATACATTTATATCAATATGTTTATACATTTATATTTATATATAAGTATAGAATATATAAATAACAACATGAAGACAGGGCAACTCCCAGATCTGTAGTTTTGGGGAGAAAGCATTGTGGGCCAATCTCATACCTGGAATGTAATTGGCATCGGGTTATAATTGGCATTAGGGGGTTGTAGGTATTAGGGACAATTAAGTCTTGGATTTTCAGATACTGAGGTTCTGACCTGGGCAGTAATTGATAGACTGATTGCTGTTCTGGGTAGAAGTCTTTTCTGTTACTAGATTGACTTGTGTTCTGCCTGCTGATACACCTGGTATTCTCTTATTAGAGGGATGTATAAAACTGAATGTTAATTAAAATATGCTTGAGGTGGGTGTCCAAGAGAATTTAAATGATGAGAGGTAACTGACTGAACAACCTATATACTTGAACTCTAAGGAAAACAGTGCATAGTATTTAGTTGCCTTTTGAAATGTCTACTGAGCATTATATTTCAGTGTGGAAAGGTACTTTGCTGGCACACTGGTAATTCTGTGAATTTCATTTTGGGATCTTGGGAGAGAATAGAGAGAAGAGGCTAGGCAAGTAATTGGCAAGAAAAGCAAACAGTGACACAAGTCTGTTAACAATGCAGCCTTGTTTATGCTCTCTGTGCCTATCAGCATTTCTGAAACTGAATTCCTCGCTCTGTGAACTAGTTAGCACAGGAACACTCCTTTCATTTAGAGTGCTTGGAATTGGAAGTATGCTGGAGAGGACACAGTCGTGTATATCTGAGTTGGATGAGTACATCCTGTCTGTCACTGCTAGGACTTGATGTAAAGGAATTAATGACAAGTGATCTGGGAGGGGTTATCAGTAGAAGTATCTGGAATTAGTTTTTAGGTCTGTTTGTATCGTTAACATTTCAGAGTAAAGACATTACCTAAGTCAAAAGGCTGTTTAATTCTTGAAACCAGAAGCCTGCTAGTTACAAAGACTGCTTCATTTAATAGATAGGGCCTTGGTTTTGAGAAAGATCTAATTTTATTCTGCAGGCTCTTTCAAAGAATGTTACCTGTGAGTAATAGTTGTATAAAATTTAGGTAACATTGTTATTTGACCTAACTTTTGGTTTTGATCTGCTGATAAATCTGACTACATTTCTATAAATAAGAATGAACCAGGCAACAGAATATAAGGATACCTCTAATTTTAGCATTTCTTTTCTTTTTCTTTTCTTTTTTGGAGAGGTTTTTGCTATAGGGTACCAGAAAGAGAGAGACAGAGACAGAAAGCAAGAAATCACCTCCTAGAAGAATGGCCACGCTGCAATTCCTTCTCCGTTTTCCTCTTGGGATCTTGGACTTGCATGCACATGCGCCCGGCATGAGTTTAAGCCACTGGGTTCAAGACTTGAACCATGGTCGACTACATGGAAGTCCAGCAACATACCATTACGCCAACTGCTGGTCCCTAATTTTAGCATTTTTGAGAGTTAGGTACTTGATAAAGATGAGGAAAATTAGCAAAATTTAGAATCTCAATCTTGCTATTGAGGAGCAAAGGAAATATTTAATAAATCAGGTATCAGATTTGAAGTTTTTTTTGTTTACATGTATTAGAGCTTGCTGTGGGTTTGGGCAGATGGTTTTCATTTATTTTACTCACTCACTGTTTTTTCTTATGTTAAATTTTTCCTTGGCATCAGCAAAAGCATAATGAAAAATAGCTTTTTATCAAAGGATTATTTTATTTATCATTATTATTATTTTTTAATTTGGTGAGGGCATGTGTGCTCATCAGAGAGAATGTGAGAAATCAAGCTCCTAGCTCTGAGACTTGAACCACAGATAGCCATGTGGCGTCTAGCATCTTAACCAGCATACCATCTGGTGGTCCTGAAAAATAACTTTTAAAAATGGAAAAATTAAAGTTTTATCTTCTGCTTAACCACTGATTTTTTTTTTCCAGCATTGGTTGGATAGTACAAAAAGCATCAAAAAGCAAGTAAAAAGTAAGTGTTGAAAATTAACTTGTTAAAACAAAATGGAAACTGGGGGTGGCAGGTGGTGTGGTGGTTAAGGCACTGAACTCCCACCTGACTAACCACGGTACAAGTCCTAGACCTGGCAGCTTGCTTTCTCACTTTCACTTTCTCTCTAGTCTAATTAAAAAATAGTGATAACAAATAAGGTTAACTAATTCTTTTTAAAAAATGGAAACTAAATATTTTAGAAATTGATTCCTAATCATAAGGACATAAAAAATCATGTGTCAAAGTAAGTTTTTAGCTTCTCTGGTCTAAAAATCATTTAATTCTAATCTATTGACTCACTACCCAAATTATTTACATTTGATACTAAACTAGATTCTAGGAGAAAGTTTCCAGGAGAAAGCCTTGCAGCTTGCACATGGACTTACTTCCTATGAACTACTTAATTTAATAATTACTTGTGTTGAGATTTTCTTTTGTGGGTTTGTCTGGTGTCTTTCCTGCTCTAGAAAATATTTTGAGACTTTAAGACTATAACATTTTAAAATTACGTGTCTGATCCATAATCCAGCTTGTTCAGAGTTCTTGGAGCACTCTTTACCCAACAGTGGGACAGGACTCCTGAGAGTGTAAAGGTTCCTGAACTAGCTGAAGTGAATTTGAAAGTATGTGGGAGGATTTGCCAAGAGCAATTAGTAACAGGCATGCCTCAGTGTTCCCAAGAAATACAGCTCAGCAGGTTTACAGAGCTGTTAGATTGCACAGTACAGACTTTTTTATTTGATGCGTTTGGCCCTGAACTTCATCTAGACTTCATCTAGAGCTGTCTGTTCTTAGGATGACAGATAATTGTATTGAATAGTACTATACTGATTGATCTTTTTATGTCATATACTGTGACTTAACCAGCAATTATACATTGACCTGTTAAATTATGTCTCTCACTTTAGTAAATTTTTGTGAAATTTACCGGCTGAAAATTACTATTTAAATAAATAAAAATTAAAGCTTTTTTTCCTCCCTAATGGCAGTTGGTTCACCTTATTGTCTGCATCTTCGAGTTAAGTTTTATTCCTCAGAACCAAATAATCTTCGTGAAGAGCTAACCCGGTAAGACCATTATGTAGAATTCTGCAGGGATATGTTGGTAAAGTTGGGAGATGGCAGATTGTCTCCAGTTTATAAAGAGCTAAAGAGCTAATGAAATGGATTCCTTGCTTTTGGTAACTAAACCTCAGATAATAGAATTTTATTCTGGGACATTGTTTCTGTGTCTGATTTTTTTTTTTTTTGGTTTTCAGGATACTTTAAGAGAGTTCACAACACTAAGCTTTTGGCTCCTTCTGTGTCTGATTTATTTTTCTTTATCAGTTTTCAAAATATAGATGGTCCCTGACTTACAATGGTTTGACTTACAACTTTTCAACATTTTGTTTTTTTGGAGAGGTTTTTGCTATAGGGTGTGTGCACTCGCCAGAAAGACAGAGAGAGGCAGAAAGCGAGAAATCACCCCCCAGGGGGGATGGCCACACTGCAATCCCTTCTCCATTCTCCTCTCGGGATCTTGAACATACACGTACATGTGCCCAGCATGAGTTTAAGCCATTGGGTCCAGGAGTTGAACCGCGGTCAACTACGTGGGAGTTCAGTGACATAGCCATTACGCTAACTGCTGGTCGACAACTTTTCAACTTTTACAATGATGTGAAAGGAGGAGGCATTCAGTAGAAACTGTACTTCAATTTTGAACTCTTGGAATCTGCAGTGTGACACTCTTTTGTGATGCTGGGCAGTGGTAGGGAGCCACTGCTCCATGTCAGCCTTGCAGTCATGAGGGTAAACAACCAGAATTCCACAATGTACTCTCTTGCTGGCATCTTTTGGATATTGTGAGTTTTTTTTTTTTTTTAATCCCATTGTGTCTACAAAATGCCCATTTCCCACTATTAGTACTCCCAATTCACAGTGGATTTAATAAGATGTAACCCTGTCATAAATTGAGTAGCATCTATAAAGAGTTGGTTTCCTAGCATCCTCCAAAAGTGACTAGTGAGTGTTTTTTTTTTTTAAGCATAGCTGTCAATTCCCTCGTTGTAAACATGATAGGTGTATCTCAATATATTTGCAGCGACATGTTTACTGATGTTCAAAATAATCTTTGCCACTACAAGTTGACTCATGTTGTTTCCTGTTTTTATTCATCAAAATGCTGCTGCTTAGTGAAAAATATTAGATTCTGATCTGTTTTGAATAAATATTAGGTTACATATTTTATTCTGCCTCCTTGATATTTGTTGATTGACTCTGTCTTGCAAATCCATGGCACCATGCACACATACTATTTATTAAGTCAAAAAGTTGAGCTGCTAGATCCTAGAAAGGTTATCTAGATATTCTGACAGCTTTTACCTATAGTTCTATTCATTCCTGTGTCCCTTAATATAAGGTGGATATGTTGTTCAGAGTAAAGTTAAATTGGATCACAGAGTTTATTTTCAATAATTTTTTTAAACCTTTCATCTTTAGATTCTTATACCTGTTATTCCTTACTGTTATGGACATGCTTACCTCCTTCTGATGCTTATTGCCTTTTTTTGGTATTGTTTTTCCTTCACATACTTTATTTTGAGTAAAATTCTCTAAGACTTTACCCATACTTTATTTTGGGTAAAATTCTCTTAAGACTTTCTTCTCATATTAGAAAGATGGGTTTTCTTGTTTTACAGCAGATTGTTCTTTCTAGTAAGTTTTTGCCTTATTTTTAGGTATTTATTTGTCCTTCAGTTAAGACAAGATATTCTCAGTGGAAAGTAAGTATCAGTTTTAAGATAAACTGCATATTTTCTTGGGTGGTTGAAAATGATTATGAAAGTAAGCTCATAGTTGGGCCATCCAGTGACATGGTGGTTAAGGCAGTGGATCTCACATTACCAACTGTGTGGTCGAGTCTTGGACCTGACTGCTTGAAAAACAACACTGAATGTGTGTGCATGTGAAGTAAAAATCCCAAAAGGAGAATGGAAGAGAAGAGATTGCAGTGTGGCCATACCCCCTGGGGGTGGGGTGGGGTGATTTTTCACTTTTCTCTCCCTCTCTTTGGTAAGTACATGTACCCTATGGCAAAAAGGAAAGAAAAAAATTTTAAAAAAGAATACCTTCATAGTCATGAAGAAGAAACACTCAACCTGTTATTTCCAATTATCTTAAACTGAAGGTTGTGAAATTGACTTCTCTAACACATATGTATTTGGTCTCAGATTAGAATGTCCTTTTGATACAGCAGTGCAATTGGCAGCCTATAATCTACAAGGTAAGCAATTTTTATGCTGATTGTTAAGACTGAAGTGTATTATTATTTGTGTCTTTTAGTTAAAAAAATTTCAAAAGATTCAGATGCCATACTGGAGGAGAAAAAATGCTGTTTTTGTGTTAATTTGTATCAATGTTCAAGTCTGACTTTACTTTGAATTGTTTTAGAACATTGCCTTCTTTTTCTTCCCTTTCATTTCTTTGCTCCTTTTTCACTTACAGAGTTTTCAAACAAAAATTTGCAGGTTACCTGATAATTCAGTAAGTGTTATGATTGGGCTCTCATTGAATACTTCTTAAAAAGAATATAGTACTTGTTGAGTCAGTTACTGAGGCTGCTTGATTTGCTTTCTTTTTTCTTTTCTTTCTTTTTTTTTTTTTAGTTTGCCATAAGGCATGTGTGCTTATCCAGAGAGAGAGAGAGATGAGAAATCACTCTCCAGGGGAGATGGCCATACCGCGATTCCTCCTCCATTTTCCTCTCAGGATTTGGACTTGTATGCACCCATACTAGCAACTTTTTTAAACTGCTAGGTCCAAGACTTGAATTATGCAGTGGGCCATGTAGGATCTAGCTGCCTTACCCACCACATCACCAACTGGCCCTGGTTTGCTTTCTTTAGTTTATTCTTAAAAACGAATACATGGGGCTAGCTGCATGGTGCACTGGTAATGTGCTGCTTAAGAGAAGCTGGACCCCATATGGTGACAGTGGTTCAAGTCCCTGGTTCAGTCAACCTGACACTACTGGACATGCGCTCAAGTGCCCAGGATCCAATGGACTGGAGGACTATAAAAGAATTACAGGGAGACTAGACCTACTCATAATCTGCGTATCTGTGTGTTATTCTCTACTTCTCTGTCTTGTACATTGTATATCATGAACTTTTTTGTTTGTTTGTTTAAAAAGATTACTTAATAAAAATTCACAAAGGTGGCTGGTAGGTGGCATGATGGTTAAGGCACTGGATTCCCATATGGCTGACAGCTATTAGAGTCCTAGATCTGGTGACCTAGGTCTGGCGACTTGCTTTCTCACTTTCTCTCTCTCTGTCTCTTTCTCTTTCATGAGCACACATGCCTTCTGGCAAATTAAAAAATAAAAATAAAATCATTCTTTTAAAAAAAATCTATGGATTTACTTAGAGAGTATTTAATAGTTTCTGATGGTCACTTTAAAATATTTTCTAATAAGTGAACTTACTGAAAAATCACCCTCGTGCCCTGTACATTATTCAGATACTATTAAACTTAATAATTTTCATCAAAAAATTGATCTTACAAAGCAAAACTATAATTTCAATTTTTGTTCACAAAGTGAAAGGAAATACTCTAATGGGACTATTCCTTTTGGGAGGGCCGGGAGGGAGGTTTTTGCTATAGGGTGTGTATGCTCACCAGAAAGACAGAAACAGAGAGACAGAAAGTGAGAAATCATCCCCCAGGGGGAATGGCCATGCCGCAGTCCCTTCTCTTCCATTCTCCTTTTGGGATCTTGAGCACGCACACACACGGGCCTGGTGTGAGTTGAAAATACCTGTCGACCGTGGTCCGGGACTCAAACCACGATCAACTACATGAGAGTCCAGCAACATAACCATTACGCCAACTGCTGGTCCCTCTAATGGGTCTATTCTAATGAGACTGTTAGAATAAAAATAATATTTAATTATCATCAACGTTAAAGATTTGTAATGCTTTTTTGGCGATTTAATTTTTATCTCCAATCCCTCTATGATCCAGTAGCATTTATTTGTCATTGTATAGATAACAATAAGACTAATTTTTTAAGTGTTATGACAAACTTATTGTTTTTTTCCATGTTTCCAGTGTTGAAGAGAGCTTATTATCCCACTGATATGGGGACTAGTTGCTAGTGTACTTCAAAAATATGCCACTAGTGGGACCAGCAGTTAGCATAATGGCTATGTCACTGGACTCCCACGTGGTCGACTGCTGTTCAAGTCCCGGACCTGGTGGCTTAAACTCACGCTGGGCGCGTGTACGTGCGTGCCCAAGATCCCGAGAGGAGAATGGAGAAGAGGGGATTGTGGTGTGGCCATCCCCACTGGGGGGTGATTTCCTGCTTTCTGTCTCTATGTCTCTCTCTGTCTGTCTGGCGAGCGCACGCGCTGTATAGCAAAAACCTCTCCAAAAAAAAGAAAAAAAAATATGCCACTAGTATAAATTTTTATCTACCGACTGCATTTACTATCCTAATCTGTCTCCAGATTAAAACTCATTTTCTCATCTGCAGAATGTCAGGATTGAGAATCCTACGTATCTGCTGTTGTAATGATAAGTGTGTAATTATATGCATGTTATTTTTTTAAAATAATTTTTTATTTTATTTATTCATTCATTTAACTTTTTTAACTTGACCAGAGAGAGACACACACAGAGAGGGAAAATCAGAAAGCAAGCCACCATGTCTGGGACTTGAACCGTAGTGGCCATGAGGGAATGTCCAGGACCTTAACAGCCACACCACCTGCTGGTCCCATGCATGCTATTTTGAAAGCATCCTTTATAACTTTTATTACCTTCTGTATGTGATTTTTAGCTCTGAAAACTCTTAAATACACTGAAAGCTGTAATTTTTTATTTTTTGGAGAGGTTTTTTTTCACTATAGGGTATGTGCGCTCGCCAGACAGAGAGAGACATAGAGACAGAAAGCGAGAAATCACCCCCCCAGGGGGATGGTCACGCTGCAATCCCTTCTCCTCCATTCTCCTCTCGGGATCTTGGGCACGCACGTACATGTGCCCGCATGAGTTCTAAGCCACTGGATCCGGGATGCGAACCGTGGTCGACTATGTGGGAATCCAGCAACATAGCCATTATGCTAACTGCTGGTTCCCTGAAAGCTGTAATTTTTTAATATCTGCATTACACCATTGATTGCTTCATATGTTCTGTCTTCTGTGCTTCATTGGGTGAGTTTCATAACAGCCCAAGTACATTTCTTGAAAATAGGGTTTATACATGCTTTTTAATAAATTTTGATGGGTAGTGTGCTCAGTAAGTACTTAACGTGGGATCAGCCCCATTGCACAGTGGTTAAGGGGGCTAAGTTCCACATAGCTGACTGTGGTTTGAGTCCTGGTCCTTGTAGATTAAAAAAACAAGCCAGGCACATGTACATGTGTGTCCAAAATCCAGGAGGATAGAGAAACTGACGAAAAAAGATTGTGGTGTGACCATAACCCATTGGAGGGTACTTTCTTTCTCTCCCTCTCTGGTGAGAGCAGGTGCCCTTTGGGGGGGGGATGCGTGTGTGTGTGTGTATATGTATGTGTGCATGTGTGTGTACATATATAATTTTTATATATATGTAATTTATATGTATATAAATAAAATACATTATACATATGTATTATATATATAATATACATATATGTAAACTTAATGTGGTCTGTTCTAGTCTCTTAATTTTTTCCCAAACAAAAACTCTTTTTTTACTTCCTCTTCAGTCTGTTACCACTATTTTTATGAATTCACCAAACTCCATGTTAGATCTTCTGCATCTCTTTGTCACATCTGATAGTTTACTAAATCCTTGTCATTCTTAAGATACTTAAGAGTAAATTTGCTAAATTAATTACCCCTGTTTTTATAAGATGAGGTTCCTGTTTCTCATTTATGATTTTATATGTTATCAAAATACTTCTTTTATTTATTTATATTTTGCCTTTTTAGAGAGGACCAAGAATATCACGTTAATGTTGACAGTGACATTGTGCGCAAGCACAGGGAAGAGGTAGTGGAGAGGGGTATTCAGGCTTCTTGTTCCCTAACCAGCCTTAATATTAATGGCAGAGTCCAAGCAGTGTAGAAGAATATTACCTAGCCTCTCATTGGAATGAGAAGGGTAGGGAATTGAAGATCAGAGATTCAAAACTTAAAAGTAGGGCTCATGGCACGGCCAGAGAAGCCTGGAAATGAGAGTGACTGAAGGAGTGTGGGGTGTTTCCTAGCACAGATCCTTGGCAGTGAACATGCCCCTGCCCCTGTATAGGATGGAGTCCTTGGTGGAACCACAGGCATGCTCCTTGGATGAGATCTCCAGCACAGCCAGAATGGAGCGCTGATGGGCATCCAGGGAGTGTCTCACTTTCTCTGCGATGTACAAGTTAATGAGGATAATGCTGACTTAGTTTAGAAACTGCCAGAAATTGTCTTCAGTTTCACTGATGTATCCCTTTTCTATGACCAAGAAATTAGGGTGGTGGTCTTGTTAAGCTTCCCTGTATCATAGTAATCTCTCAGATCACCACAATTAGCTTCCTCCTCTCTACCATCTCTAAAACCAGGATGCTTTTTGTTTCTTTTCATACTTTCAATTTTTCTTTTTTATTTTAGTATATATCCTGAAAAACAGTATATAGCAGATTGAGTTTGTCTTCTTAGAGACCTTATGGTCCAGACAAAAGAACATTTTCATCAGTGTTAAGTGGGCATATGATACATGTTTTCCAAGGTGGTTGTGAAGTCGAATGATATTATATCTGTAACACTTCAGTGTGAGCAGGTACTCAAGAAATAATGAATAATTTACAGTATTATCATTTATTAGGTTGTTGGGAGAGTCATGTGTCGTGACTCTCCCAGCAACCCAGTGTCTCAAGGTGATTCTTGTCTACTTTTTCTCTCCTAAACTAGGTATGTTTATCAAAATGGAAATATTTTACAGGACCAGCTGGTGGCATAGTGGCTTAGGCGGCTGGATCCCACATTGGTGACAGCAGTTTGGGTCTTATGGTGGCTTGAGAAACATGCCAGACCCATGTGCACAAGTGCCCCAAGTCCCAAAAGAATGAAAGAGAAGGGATTGCAGTGTGGGCGTCCCTCCTGGAGGCTGCTTTCTCACTTTCCTTCTTTTTTTCTCTCTTTCTCTCTCTCCGGCGAGTGCTTGCACCCTACGATAAATTTTTATAAAAGGAAATGTTGGGCTTGTAGATGTTATGGTGGTTAAGGTGTTGGATTCTGACGTGGCCATGGTTTGAGTCCTAAATCCAGTGTCTTGAAAATCACACTGGGTGTGTATGCGTATATGCCCAAAATCCCAAGAGGAGAAATGGAGGAGAAGGAATTGCAGTGTGGCCATCTTCTTTAGGGGATGATTTCTCACTTTCTCTTGCTCTGTCTTACCCTGTTGAGGAGCGCATGTGCCCTATGACAAAAAAACAAAAAGAAAAAGTAATTTCCAGTTATTTGTTTCAGATTAATTTTAAATTACAAGAAGACAGGAGCTATTATCTTAGGGTGTTGTTTGGTGTCATGTTCTGTGCATTATTAATATATCCTCTTTTTTTAGAATTATTTAACTATTATCATTATTATTATTGTTTTAATTTGATCAAAGAAAGAGAGGAAAAGTGAGAAAGCAAGCTGCCAGGTCTGGGACTTGAACTGTAGTAAACCATGTGGGTGGGAGTCCAGCGTCTCTAACTACCACACGATCTGTCACCTTCCTCCCCTCCCCGTTTTTTTAAGAGATTTTTGCTATAAGGCTAGAGCCTGTGCGCTCACCAGAGAGAAAGTGAGAAATCACCCCCTCCTCAGGGAAGATGGCCATGCTGCAATCCCTTCTTCTCCATTCAGGATTTTGGACATGCATGCACACGCACCCCTGCGTGAGTTGTAAGCCACTGGGTCCAGGACTCGAACCACGGTTGACTATGTGGGAATCCAGGGATATAACCATTACACCATCTGCTGGTCCCAATATTATTAATTAGATTCTTAATAGATAACCAGTTAATTGTCTTTTGAGAATTGCTGATTTTTTCTTTATTCATGATAGAATTAATTTATGTGCTTGTGAGAGTGAATGAGAGAAAGAGAAAAAGAGACATGGAGGGAGGAACATCTTCCACAAGGGTCTGGTCATGCCGTAATCCCCTTCTTCCAGTCCTCCAGCCCTTTGGATTGTGGGCACTCACATGTGTGTATATATATGCCCAGTGTGTTCCAGGCTGACTGAGCCAGGAACTCCAATTGTAGTCACCATTTGGGATCTGGCTACCTATGCCTAGTGCTTAACCATTGTACTTCAGGGCTGTCCCAAGAATTACTGATTTTTTTTTTATTCATTATAATTTCAAAGGTATTTCTCTGTGAAAGTCTAGAAAGTGGTTTCAAAGCTAAGCATTTAATGTATGAATAAATTAAGAGAAAGACATTTAGTTAAAAATATACCACCAACAACAAATATATGATTTATATGAATGAACTGATAAGTAATACATGTAAGGTAGATTTATTTTGGTGTGGGTGTTAGGAATTTCTAGTTTAAGAGTCTAATCTTCACAAATTTTATTAATTAATTGAGTTTTGAAGGAGGAGTCAGAGCAGGAAATGCATTTACTGGTGTTAATAAAATATAACTTTGTGAACCTTGCATTTGTAGCTGAACTTGGAGATTATGATCTTGCTGAACATAGCCCTGAGCTTGTCTCTGAGTTCAGGTTTGTTCCCATTCAGACTGAAGAGATGGAACTGGCTATTTTTGAAAAATGGAAGGAATACAGGTACTTGGTATTTGATCACACTTTAACCTCACCACTTTAGTTATTTTGTATGCATTTTTCTATTTCTAGGTCCTTAGTATAGAATTTTTTTTATTATTTTTAAAAATGTTATTATATTTTAAATTTCAGAGGTCAGACACCAGCACAAGCTGAAACCAATTATCTGAATAAAGCCAAATGGCTAGAAATGTATGGAGTTGATATGCACGTGGTCAAGGTAAGCACTGTTATGATGCTTTTATAAAAAATTAATCCATTTGGGATTTAAGGAAGTAGAAATTTTCTTGTATGGAGAAAGGCTTAGAGTTTGCATAGGCTAACACTGGATACTTTGTGTATGTGGTTAAAAGGGTTGAGCTTAAATACAGAATGACTAGCATCTCACAGATAGGTTCTTTATAATAAAGAAGAAAAACAACCAAAATCTCCAAAAAGGTGTATTAATCTTTTAAGGTGTTGTTATTTTTTTTAGATGTGAAAAATGTTTTTTGTGGGAACCAGCAGTTACCGTAATGGCTATGTCGCTGGACTCCCACGTAGTCGACCGCGGTTCGAGTCCTGCACCCGGTGGCTTAAAACTCACGCTGGGCGTGTGTGCATGCATGCCCAAGATCCCCAGAGGAGAATGGAGGAGAAGGGATTGCGGCGTGACCATCCCCTCTGGGGGGTGCTTTCTCGCTTTCTGTCTCTATGTCTCTGTCTGTCTGTCTGGCAAGCGCACGCTCCCTATAGCAAAAACCTCTCCCCCCCCCCAAAAAAAAAGAAAAAAGTTTTTTGTCAGGAGGAACGTTTGCATACAAGTGAAGGTTCAGTTGTATTGCAGTCCCTGTTTCTTCAGTTCTCCCTCCTGTCAGGATCTTGGTCATGCAGGCACATGCCTGCCATGATGTTTAAGCCTCCAGGGTCAGGACTTGAACCACTTAAGTTTTAAATCACTTTTTATTACCTTATATCACTTAAGTAGGGTCTGTTAAAAATAATCCAGGAAGCAAAGTTGAGAGTTTATAGCATGAGAGGACTTTGATAAAGTGTACAACAGCTTGTATAAAAGGCAGTCTTTTTCAAAATTGTGGTTTAAATGGTAAATATAATAGAGGAAGATCTGGAAAGACCTTTCTTGAAAGTGGGAGTATCACTTCCCACTTTCAGTGAGGATATACTATAAAAGAATAATGTTTTGTGGCCAGCAGGTGGCGTGGTTTGTAGAGTGCTAGATTCCCACATGGCCTTCTATGTGGTTCAAGACCTGGATCCGGTGGTTTGAAAATCACAACAGATGAAAAGATAAATAAATAAATGTAAAAAAAGAGAAATTAATAGTGTTTCAATTACTAGATACATAAATGTGTACATGAATTTATCTGAAATTTATTTTTGGATACTGTAATTGTTGAAAATATTTTGTATATTAACATCAGTGCATATGTGATTAACACAACTCATTGTGAAAATAAAATTAAATAGCTATGTGAAAATATAAACCCTTTTTATGCAAATAAAGCTAACACTTTTTTTTTTCTTAAATTAGGCTAGAGATGGGAATGACTATAGTTTGGGACTAACTCCAACAGGAGTCCTTGTTTTTGAAGGAGAGACTAAAATTGGCTTATTTTTTTGGTAAGTAGTTTTAAGTAAAAGATACTTTTGTTTCTTAAAGAATAAAAACATTCATATCAAGTAAATGTATAAAATAGTTTGGAAATAAAATTTCTGAGAAGGTAGTAAAGATAAAAAGTGACATATTTCATGTCACACTTTTACTCATCTTTATTCCCACTCCCCAGAAGGTAATTTTTAAAACTCTTCCTGTTATGATTCCTATTATGATTAGTTTCAATTGATGTTAAAGTGTACATTTGGCCAGCCTTTGTGGGTGGTGGTACTCGGTGCTCCGTGATGTAGAAGTCATATGGGCAGGTCCTGGGTTCATATCCAGCTTTCCCCATACATGCCAGACATGTGTGCCCGCAGTCTTGGATGACTGAGGCTAGAGGTTTCATTGCAGTGTGAAAACCCTGTGGGAGTTCCTGTCTGTCTATCTCAGAAGAAACAAATAACTTTAAAAAAATGATCTTATCGTATGTATCATATATATATGTTTCTTAAAGAATAATGATATATATATAT